TCCTTTTGACCCTGTCCCCTAGCACATACCTGCCTGTCTCTTCCTCTACCGCTCCTACAATGTGCTTCTTCCCCTCCTACTCCGGAGATCCCCCTTCCCCACAGCCTGAATTTACTTCCACTTTTCTCCTAACCCACTCACAGTCAGGGCCACCAAGAGCGGGTTCCTCAGCAAGGGTGGACCAGCTAAACAGGGCCGAGGAGGGTGGGGGAACTGGGCCCCGGGCCCCCTTCTGGACCGCTGCGCCCCGGACTGGCTAAACAGGGCTGATGGGGGGGGGGGAAGCTGGGCCCCGGGCCTCCTTCCGGACCGCTGGGCCCCAGTAATTTGTACCGGCTCCCCCCCCCTCTCGTTGGCCCTGCTCACAGTCTGTCTATGCCCCCCGCATTACGGTCTCTCTCTACGGGGGGGTGTTGCTGTGTGTGTTACAACCTCTTGCTAGGGGGGATTTTGCTGTGTGTGTTACAGTCTCTCGCTAGAAGGATGTATGTCAATGTGTGTTACAGTCTCTTTTTCAGGGGATGTTGCTGTGTATTACAGCCTCTCTCTTTCTGAAGGAGTGTTGCTGTGTGTGCTACCATCTCTCTCTAGGGGGTGTTGCTGTGTGTGTTACAGCCTCTCTCTCTCTCGGGGGTGTTGCTGTGCGTATTACAGCCCCCCCCCAGGGCAGGGGTCTCAAACACGCAGCCCGCGGGGTTCTTCCCTGTGGCCTGCCAAGCTCCTCGCTGCCCCCCCCGTCCTACTCTGGCTCCGATGCGCGCCCCTGCCACCCAGAAGCCGCTCCAGGTAACCAGCGCTGGACCAGAACCCGAACCCTTCCGGTACCCTGCACCCCAACTCCCTGCCCTGAGCCTCCTGCCTGCACTCCAACCTCCTGCCACACCCCGCACTCCCTCCTGCACCCCAACCCCCTGCTCTGAGCCCACTGCCGCACCCTGCCCCCAACCCCCTGCCCCACCCCTCCCGCGCCCCAACCTCCTGCCACACCCCACATTCCCTCCTGCACCCCAATGCCCTACCCTGAGCCCCCTGCTGCACCCCCCGGGCAGGGGTGGGGACAGCGGGAGGCGGGTGATGTGGCCCTTGGGCCAACATACGAGTCCTCATGTGGCCCTCCTGGTGATTTGAGTTTGAGACCCCTGTTCTAGGGGGTGTTGCTGTGTGTTACAGTCTCTCTCTAGAGGGTGTTGCTGTGTGGCTCTCTCTAGGGGGATGTATGTCCCGGTGTGTTTTGATCTGACAATAACTGTTCAATCCCCCGTCTAAATTCTCCCTCACACTCCTTAGCCTTCCTGTCACCCCCACGCTGCAGAGGCGCAGCCCGCTCTGGGACCAGAGCGCCGCGCGGCCGCCCAGCCACACCCGCCCCCTGCCTGAGGCGCAGCCGCAGTAGGAAGCAGGCGCCGTGGCGTTAGAAACAGCCTTCGCGGCGCAGGCGCAAGGGGATTTGGCGCCAGCGCTTGTGTGCGTTGAATGAATGTTGTGGAAGCGGCAGCGCTGAGGCAAGTGAGGGGGGCGTCCCAGGCTCGCCCGGCGTCTGCTGGGGGGGCTCGGTGGGGCTGGATGCTTCCCTGTGCGGGGCCCCGGTGGCCGCATCCCGGTTGAGAGACGGCAGTGGCCCGTCCCGCTGCGGGCAGGAGGAGATCATGGGGAGGGGCAACGCCCGGGCCAGGGCTGCTCTTGGGCGGGGGCGGCGTTGGATTTCATTCCCTGCGAGGAGGGGACCGTCTCCCCGTCAGACACGCACAGGATGATCCCCGGGAGCTTCCAACCTTCACCCCCGTGGTGGCCGAGGGAGGGGTGGGGGGAGGCCAGGTTGACTCCCTGTCACTCTGCTTCCCTTTTGCTGCCAGTTGGAAATACTGATATTTAAAGTCGATCCCGAGCGATATTGGTAGGACAAGGGTGCTGGGCGCTGTACTAACACATGTGGGCGATGATTCCTGCTGTAGACCTCCTCCCCCCATGCCCCCGAGTGAAGGATAAACAAGGGGCACTGTGTATTATAGGAAAGTGAGGGGGGCCCAGTTATTTCCTCCCATCTGTATTACATTTGAAATACTGACTCTAAAAATCCATTCCCAGTGAAGGGGTTTCTTGTCATCCCGAGGAAGGGGACGGGGAAGAAGTTTGAGGGATGTCTGATCAGCTGTCCTTTTGTACAGGGTCACAGAGAAGCTAAGCACAAATAAAATGGGGCTCTGCATGTTATTTTTAGAGTAGGTGAATGTACATTTAACTTTACAAAGCACTTCTGAGGCAAGATTTAAGTGTCATCCCACACTGGGATTTGGCTCACTTCTGTGCCTGTGTAGACAACATATAGAATTTTTCTGAATAAAATAAAATGAAAATGCATTTTTTGAACATTGCTAACTAGCATCCTTGCATCCCCCCAAAAGTAAATTTTCTATGCAGGGATTTTGAAGGCAAATTGAGGAATGACATGGTTCATTAGTGATAATGTTACAGACATATGTGGTGTAAAATAAGATCAACAGTCTTCTAACACTTATTTTACATGAGAGCGTCACATAAATGCATGTGGCAAAAATTTTCAGAGTCAAACATTTGGAAATTAAAAGGACTTCACTTTACATTTAGTAATTTAAAAGAGTTACGAGTACTTTTCAAGTACTCATACTTTTGAGTTCCTTGTCCAATTTTTGTGGTTTTGTAATAACATTTTCCCATTTTAAAAAATGTTTGTTTCCCCTGGTACTCAGAGAGACCCACATAGCTGAAATTGACAGACTAACTATCCAAAAGGAAACCATAAAATAGACCCTACTTAAAAATGCTTTCAATTGCACAAAGTAAATAAACTGAAAAATTGCTACAGTAATTTTAGCTGTTACTTGTAGCAGTAGTTTAAAAAAAAATCAACAACACAGATGTGTGTTTTTGAAATTGGCAGTCTCTTTAGCTTGCATTCCAATTTCAATCACATTCTTATTTGTTGGATGCGTTCGCCAGCAAAAACAGCCTTTCAGATTTCACTATGTGTATATGTCCTAATTGTATACAAAGTGATATACCTTATTCATCAAGAATCATTGTGAACACTGATTCATTTAGTGTAAAACTTTACCGAAGTATTCTGTATTTTGCATGATGTTCTCGTCTTCTGTGATAGAGTTGAGTTTTTTCCTTTCCTTGCTGTGAAAATTCACACACTGGAGATCATATTATTTTTGTCTAGGTTTTTATGCCATGCCCATTATTGTGTTGAGTGCATACATTGCAGCTATGATTCTGCCAAGTAGGACTGGATATAACTCTCTTCATAATCTATCACCACAACTAATTGGCTAGAAAGGTCATTCCCTTGGGCTAAGTGTGTGCTGCCTTACATCACTCACTGAGGAGCAAAAAAAAGGGAATAACGGGTCGGCACCACTATGTTGTGTGATGGACTCTTGACAGAATTACTGTACTTAGTGATGGACATGGCAGGGGAGGAGTGTTATGTCATTCAGTCATTCAGTGTTTTGAAAAATTACCATGGACTCAAAATTTTTTACCATGGACACTTGTGTCTGTGTATGGACATGTTGCTGACCCCTGATGGGAATGGAAGCCATGGACTCCTACAAGTGCCATTAGGATAGCTGAGTATCAAAGCATTTTGATATAATTTTTCAGGCTTCTTTAACAAGCATACCAGTGATGTTATGGAAAAGAAAATGGCTGACAAACCCGTGGAAAGACCAACTTTCTTTGAAATATTTAAGGCACGATGCAGTGAATCAGGTACAGCTATTATTTAATTTGATTAAAATTAATGTACTGAAAGCATGTTGTAATCAGAGGCATTTTCAGGGTGCTGTATTCTGTAGGCATTTGCAATAAACTCTATGTCCCAATGAAGAGTTGAATTTAACTTGGTTGTCTCCTTACATTCCTATGTTCTTTATGCACAAGATGTGGTGGTAATTCCAAATGGTTTTAGTAATGGCTCAAGACTAATAAATGCTCTAATATTTAAATATACTTAAGGTTATCAAGGCCTTAAGTCTCTTATATGTCAATGTTAAAATTTTTTCACTTTTAAGTTGCCTCCAGCTCTAGGCTCAGAAGTGCTAATGGTCATGATTCTTTTTTCAAATATACTGTATTTTGTGATTTATTCATGTTGAGAAGGACTTCTTATTTTTTAAACTCCTATATTGCTGGTTTTAGCAAAATGGGTCCAGTTTCCCTTCTAACTGTAAAACAAACCTATTGTTTAACCATGGTTCTTCTTGGAGTATATTTCAGTGTGGATTCTACTGTAGATTCACATGTGCCACGTGCATACAAACTCAGAATTTTTTTTTAATAGTAGTATGTATCGGTGCTGTGCATGTGTCTTGTACCACCTCATGCTTCCATATGAGTGCACAAAGGGTGGAATGACTGCAAACTTCCCTTTTTTTCCCCATGGCAGTGAGATGGAACCTGGACAGTGTACACAATTTTTAGCTTAAAACTCAACCCTTTCATGAAGAAATTGTTCACTCTCATTGTTTTCTTAATTTTTTTGGACTGGGGGAGACCTCCGATACAATCCCTTAAACCACGGAGTGAAAAATTTTGTGCCAACCACTGGCATAGCAGACTCTAAACCCACAGGGTTTAAATCATGCCCGTCATTACTGAATACAGTAAATTTCACCTGGCTACAATGGTACAGATTTACCTTGCAGCATTATGCCATGTGCCCTCTTATATTTATGTGATGCTGGTTGCCAGACTTCTCCGGAGATTGCTACAGTTCTGGCTCTGGTCAGTCTATTCCTCTGCAAAGTCACCGACAAAGAAGGCTCTAATACTCCCTTGTGTCTTCGTGGTGCTGACAGACATGTTTGCCATCAAGGACAATGCCAAGTGCTCAAACTTCTGTTCCAGAGGGGGCATGACTCTTGGATCATTGCCAGATGCCTTCCTTCTGCAGTGGTACTAATACATACTCTGGGTTAATTAATAAGTAAAAAATGATTTTATTAAATACAGAAAGTGGGATTTAAGTGGTTCCAAGTAGTATCAGACAGAACAAAGTGAATTACCAAGCAAAATAAAACAGAACACGCAAGTCTATGTCTAATACAGTAAGAAAACTGAATACATATTAAAAACCTCACCCTCAGAGGTATTCCAGTATGCTTCCTTTTACAGACTAGTCTCCTTCTAGTCTGGGTCCAGCAATCACTCACACCCCCTGTAGTTACTGTCCTTTGTTCCAGTTTCTTTCAGGTATCTTTGAGGGTGGAGAGGCTATCTCTTTAGCCAGCTGAAGACCAAACTGGAGGGGTCTCCCACGGGCTTAAATAGACTTTCTCTTGTGGGTGGAGATTCCCTCCTCTCTCTTATGCAAAGTCCAGCTCCAAGATGGAGTTTTGAAGTCACATGGGCAAGTTACATGTCCATGCATGACTCAGTTTTTACAGGCAGCAGCCATTGTTTACACGCTACCCTGAACGTCCTCAGGTAGACTTCTTATGTGGATTGGAGCCTTCCAAGATTCATTGTCCTTTAAGTGTTTCTTGATTGGGCACTTAATTTGCACATTCCTTTCTCAAGAAGCGGGCCAAATGCTTTACTAAGGCTACTTAAAAATCAAGCAAGTACACAGCTAATATTCATAACTTCGAATACAAAAATGATACATGCATACATATAGGATGAATAGGTTCAGTGGATCATAACCTTTACAGATATATGTTACATGGAACATGTAGCATAAAACATATTCCAGTTATGTCATATATACATTCATAAGCATATTTCCATAAAGCCTTATGAGGTGCACCGTCACACAGGCCATGCTCATTCTCATAGCTCCCTGCTGGCCAGCGTAGTTCTGGCTGACAGACCTGTTACAGATGTCCACGTGACCACCAGTCAGTTTCTCAGATTGCCCAAACCTGTTGTCAAAGATCAGGCTCAAGTACTCCACCCAGACCCAACGTCACTACACCAGATGGCTTGGATGCTGGCTGATTGAGCATCACAGAGAGGGATTGCTCCTTGCATGTTCAGGAAACATTGGCACAGAGCAGGAAGCTATCCACACTTTCAAATGGATAAGGTTCTTAACATTGGCAGCCCGACACGGCCAAGACCTGCTGCAGGCCCCAGTACTGAAGATTCTCGACTATTTGCTGCAGCTGAAACACTTCGGATTTTAATTTAGCTACATCAAGATCCAGCTGGGAGCACTATCAGCGTATCATCCACTGGTAGTTGTTCTTAGTCTTCTCTCATTTGTTAGTATCAGAATTTCTTAAGAGTCTAATGCATGCTTAATCACTGGTTAGAGATTTAAAATTTTTATTAAAGCTAATGTTAAAAATATATATATAATATATAGGTTGGGAAAAGAGTGTCTGTACATCTGGGTATAGTGCTTAGATTATCCACAAATATAAAGTTAGTTTTTAAAAGTCATATGATACATAGAGTACATAATCAGCAGTAACCCAAATTTAGGTGAATGGATTTAACAATACAGTTTAGATATTAGAATCCGAATACTCGGGTACGTCACTCATGAAAAGTTGTACAGAGATTTGGTTGTGAAAAGCAAAGAATATCAATGAGTGGAGATTGTCCCTCAGTAATTGAGAATTAAGTTGGTTGCCTATTTAGAAAATACAATCCATGAGGAAAGTATCTACTCCAGCATGGGACTTCAACATCCTCTTAAAACTTATGGAGCCCCTCTCCTCCCCCCGTCTGTCCCTCCTCCCCCAGCACCTATTGGAATGCTCCATCCGTTATCTTACTCTCAAAATTGCCTTTTTGTTGGTCATCACCTTGACCAGAAGAGTAAGTGAGCTTCAGGCACTCATGGCAGAACTCCCATATACTTAATGCCATAAAGACAAAGAAGTACTGAGACCTCATGTAAAATGCATTCCAAAGGTAACTTCTGAGTTCCACTTAAAATAATCAGTTAACTTTCTTGTGTTCTTCCCAAAACCACATTCCACACCAGAGGAGAAGAAGCTACATGCTATGTGATATCGACAGCAATTTTTTGACTGTCCCCACCTCTGTTTGTGGTCATAGCTGGCTGCTCCAAGAACCAGGCTGTTTCATTGCAAAGATTGCCTAAATGGCTTATGCTTTATATCTCACTGGGTTACCAGCTAGGCAATGTGCCTCTCACTCACTCTGACTATTAAGGCTAACTTCACCAGAGCACAAGCAACATCCTCTACTTGCTCCTGAAGTATACTGATATCTGAAATCTGCACGGCAGCTATATGGCTCCACCCTTTCACATTTGTCAAGCATTATGCACTGGATTTAGCTAGTAGATCAGATGGCAAGTTCGGAAGAGCAGTACTCCTATCTCTATTTGACTGATGCAGCTGTGATACTCCTACTATCTAGAGATGACACTGCTTGCCATTCACCTATAGTGGGATCCACACGTACTCAAGGAAGAAATAATGGTTGCTTAGTCCTACAGTAACTGGTTCTTCAAGGTATTGTCAGTGTGGATGCCACAACCTTTTCTCCTTCCTGTTTTCGGAGTCTCAGCTAACATGGGCTCTGAGCTGTGAGGGAGCTAAGGGAAGGTTGTGACTCCTCTGCCCTTTTTGCCCTCATAGGGCAGCACAAGGCGGCACAGCATACGTGTGCTGTCCTGGCTGAAACCGCTGTTCAAAAAAAAAAAAAAATAGTAAGCTCTCATGTGCATGAGGCTTATGTGCACCACAATGGGATCCACACAGACTACAACATCTTGAAGAGTCAGTTACTGAAGGGTAACTGTTCTTTTGGTAAAAAGCCACAGTAGTAGTTTTGTCAACATTCTTTGATTGTTTTGTCAACATCAAAATTGAAAGGAGTACTATAATATAAAAGTATATGGTTAGAGGAGTGTTGTTGGGTTTTATAACAGGCTGGTTTAAATGTCCAGTATATCTCAGCTATTGTATAATGTCCTTCGTGAAACATTAAACTGATTTGAATTCAGACAATAATTTATCATAAAGTTAGGGTTCCTCAAAAAAATAAAATAAAAATAAAAATAAATATAAATATTTATAAAGGCTAGGTTAAATTACATATAAAAATAATGTGATATTTTTCTTTATAGACTTAGGACCGATAAGTCTCAACTGGTTTGAGGAACTCAGCACAGAAGCTCCACCCTATGAATCTGAAACATCAGAGAAACCTGAATACAGAGCTGGCTGGCTTGATCAAAGTGCTACTAAAACTCCAAGGGGGAAACCCTCTACATATAGCCAGTTGGCATCAACTCCAATGATTTTCAAAGAACAGAGTGTAACATTGCCACTTTTGTCTTCTCCGATAAAAGAACTGGGTCAGAAGAAAATAGAAGCAGGTGAGTAACTGGGTTTGTCTGAAGTAAAAGTGTGCTTATAGCTTCCCACAGCCCCCTAAAACAGAGACTTTATATTTCATTGTTATAGTTTCCCATTAGTACTGCAATAAATAATGCTATCACAGACATTAAATACGAAAAAGACATACAGTACTAGGCCCTCTAATTCACCCTGTATAAGTGCAGAATTGTTCATTACAATGAATTCACTCTTGCAGTGAGCTCTGTATGGCTCCATGC